CCCCCCTGCAGTTTTCAAAATATGTGAAATATATGAAATTTGACTCCTAAGCGAGATTTTTAGCCGAATTCGGACTCTCTGCACCTATTTTCATTTTCAAATTACTATTTTTTTTATCGAAAATATGCCAATTACTGAAAACAGCGGTTCGGTCATATTTTGCCCAAACCCCCCTGCAGTTTTCAAAATATCTGAAATGTCGGAAATTTGACTCCTGAGCGAGATTTTTGAGCCGAATTCTGACTCTCTGGACCTATTTTCATTTTCAAGTTACGACCTTTTTGATCGAAAATGTGCCAATTACTGAAAACTGTGATGGGTCATATTTTGCCCAAACCTTCCTGCAGTTTTCACAATATATGAAATGTCGGAAATTTGACTCCTGAGTGTGATTTTTGGGCCGAAATCTGACTCTCTGCAGCTATTTTCATTTTCAAATTACGACTTTTTATACCCAAAATATGCCAATTACTGAATACGTTGATGGGTCATATTTTGCCCAAACCCCCCTGCAGTTTTCAAAATATCTAAAATGTCGGAAATTTGACTCCTGAGCGTGATTTTTGAGCCGAATTCTGACTCTCTGCACCTTTTTTCATTTTCAAATTACTACATTTTATACCGAAAATATGCCAATTACTGAAACCAGCAATTGGTCATATTTTGCCCAAACCCCCCCTGCAGTTTTCAGAATATCTGAAATGTCGGAAATTTGACTCCTGAGCGTGATTTTTGAGCTGAATTCTTACTCTCTGCACCTATTTTCATTTTCAAATTACTACCTTTTATACCGAAATGTGCCAATTACTATAAATGGCAATGGGTCATATTTTGTCCGAACTCCCCTGCAGTTTTCAAAATATCTGAGATGTCGGAAGTTTGATTCTGACTCTGGACCTATTTTCATTTTAAAATTACGACTTTTTATTCTCAAAATATGCCAATTACTGAAATTGGCGATGGGTCATATTTTGCACGAACCCCCCCCCCCTGCAGTTCTCAAAATATGTGAAATGTCGGAAATTTGACTCCTGAGCGAGATTTTCTAGCCGAATTCTGAGTCTCTGCACCTATTTTCATTTTCAAATTACGATTTTTATTCCGAAAATGTGCCAATTACTGAAAATGGCGATGGGTCATATTTTGCTCAAACCCCCCTGCAGTTGTCAAAATATCTGAAATGTCGGAAATTTGACTTCTGATCGTGTTTTTTTGAGCCGAATTCTGACTCTCTGCACCTATTTTCATTTTCATATTACAACTTTTTCTAGCAACAGTTTCCTTACTTTCCCCACTGGTGATCTCAAACTCTTCTAGTGGGTTCTGGTTAACTATATATATATATATATGTGTGTATATCACGAAAATAAACACGTGATTAAGAATGTGACAATGTCAGACCACGGAGGAAAAATGAAACAGGAATTTCCTTAAGTACTTTCGTATATTAAATACATCTTCAGAAGGTTTGAAGTACTTTCGTATATTAAATACATCTTCAGAAGGTTTGAAGATGTATTTAATATACGAAAGTACTTAAGGAAATTCCTGTTTCATTTTTCCTCCGTGGTCTGACATTGTCATATATATATATATATATATATATATATATATATATATATATATATATATATATATATATATATATATATATATATATATATATATATATATATATATATATATATATATATATATATATATATAAATATATATTGAATTTGGCCAAAATGGTGAGATCAGTGATTATAGCACGAATCTTCTTTATTTTTCCTTACATTTTCCTTCACTTCAGAAGGAAGTTGAAAAATTAACTCTCCAAAGTTCATTTTTACAGTTTTATTTAGCCTGATGTTAAGGACTGCGTTGTTAACTCTTGTTAACATTTTCAAAGGCAGTGTAGAAATGATTACAAATTGATCGATTGACGAGGAGTAAACCACCCAAGAGGTAGCACGGGCATGAATAGCCCGTAAATTACAAATTGTTTTGCCGCATTATATGTACCCGAAGATGAAGTGAAGGTGAATGGGAAGAGAAAGTCCCTGTGGCGCAGGGGTAAAATACTGGCCCGGCGCGTCGCGAGCAATTTGGCCTAGACTCTATACCTCATTTTAAAGTCTTACAACCTGAATACCTTTATATTCAATATATTTACATACAGGTTCCCAATAACTGTTGGGCCTATGTAGATGAACATTAATTAATGGAGATATACACAATCGTCCCACCTTGTCCAAGATGAGGCGACTTGGGCTCTATTTTCTGTTACATAGGTACAGAAGAAGATGACTTCTCACCCTTGTGAACAGGTGTTCTGTATATACAGAATATTGGCTCGCTCCTGTGATCTTCGCATTTCCTTAAATTTATTGTTTGGAAAAGAATTTCCAATTTTGTGAGCTCTTTTAAATAGCGAAGTTAGCCGTATTCACACTAAACATTTTCTTTAGATGAATAGTATTTCATTTTCTCAGCTGTAAGGGGAACTAATACATTA